AGGGCCGCCGCCACACGCGCTTCGCCGCCGCCTGGACCCTCATCAATGCCCATGAGGTCGCCGTCATGAGCGGTATTGCTGCCGCCGTCGATCTCGGTGCCCAGTACCCCCCGGATTTGGAGAGAGATCGCTTTGCGTTCTTGTGCTTTAGGCTGTATTATTTGTTGGCCTATGGGAAGTGGTATAGGAGGAGAGCGACGAGGAAGAGCAACGAGGGGCCCGGGAGTGAGTGGGCGAGTGGGTTGTATGGGAGTGTGTATAGGGGTCCGGGGGTTAGCGAGGTGCATCGGAGGCAGTGGAGGGAGGAGAATGGGATTGAGGGCGAGCCAGAGAGGTATAAGTTTCCGGAGAATGCGGGGCATAGGTAGTTGGCTTGGTGGATGGATGGGAAGGGGAGGCGTGAGTGGTGATGGGATGAAGGATGGGTTGGACGTTTTCACGTGTGTGATACCATGTAATCGACGTACGTAGTAATGAATTTATTTAATCATCATCACACTTGAAAAAGTCGTATGTACTGCTTCATCCGCACCCATTACACAAGGTCAGTACAGATCAAGAATCACCAACTCTAATATTAAACGCATGCTACGGATAACAACGACGCAGACCAAGCGAAGGAAAGAGGGTATATCTAATCAACCAGTCGAAAACAGCACATGCAACCCGCAACCCAATCAAACCTGCATTACTCAAAAGAATAAAAACACTACCCGCAACTCCTATGCCAAAAAAAAACGATTCCTCACTCTGAAATAGACTTCGCAGCTCGCAAAGGAGAACTAGATTCGCTACATGCTCGTCGTAAATCTGCAAAAAAAAAAACAAAGCAATCAATGTCAGCATGCTATTTCCTCTCCCGCGTCTCTCCATCAACCGGCTTCACGCTGGTGCTGCCTTCGAGCGGAGGAATGTAACCTAGCTGCTTCTCTGCGTTATCACCTGCAGGCGTATAAGGCGTGAAGCCCCCCTCTGGTGATGACTGCCACTTTGCCATGTCTTTCTTAAGTTGCTCAAGCTCCTTCTGGAAGCGGTTTCCAAACACGTCAATGTAGTAGGTGGCACCGTTGTAGACGCTCCAGACGAAGACGATGCTCAGGAACAGGCCACTGGGCCAGCGGTACCAGAACCACACTTGGCAGGGAATCATGGTAAGGACAGCATAGCTGTATTGGATGAACATGAAAGCGGGCTCTTGGAGGAACTCGGGCAGTGCAAGGACAATCTTGCCAATCCAGGTCTTGGCGTACGACTTCCGCAGCCACGTGAAGCTGGTTGGTCGACCTGCTGCAATCTGATCACGACGGCGCACCGTGATGAGGAAGTGGTAAGATAGCTGCCAAACTGCATACGGACAAGTGGCCCAGAGCATCATCTGGGAAAGACCATAGTGGTGGGGCGAGCTTGGGTCCGAATGGCGAATGTTGTAGATGGCGGGATAGTGTTCTTGTTGATATTCTGGCGAGAGCAGGTGGACGATGCAGTGTAGAGTGACACATGGCATGATGTGGATGAAGAGACTACAGATGTAAGTATTTGAGTACAAACACGAATATGCAATACTGACCTGACAACCTTGTCCATGCTGTGAAAGACGAGCGAGTTACGCCACATGATGATGGCTACGGCGTTGTTTCCCATGCAAAGACAGTACGTCGAAATGAAGAGTCGCTTGGACTGAGGGAAAACCCACATGGTCAGGACCAAGAGGATGTTGACAAAGTAGCACAGATCAGCCAAGAAGTAGTGATAGCCCTTCTTGTGATACGTGAAGAAGCGGATGGGCATAAAGTAGAGCAGCTGAGCAGTGTACCAGTGAGGGAACCACTCTGGATGGGATCCGACCAAGTACCCTGAGACAAAAATGTTCAAGACGGCGGCGATGAAGGATGTCTTTTCGCGCGCAGTCACTGTGAGAGACTCGTTCCAGCGCTGGTTCAGACGGTCAACCGAGCGGCGCATGCGCTTCTTGTACTTATCGAGTTGCTCAGCTTCAGTTGGCACTCTGCGTCGCCACTCCTCAACCACGCGATCTCTGGTTATGCCCCTGTTCTTTGCCTGGTTCTTGATGCGCTCCGTCTGGTTGGAGATCGAGTTCTGTATCTTCTCTATACGCTGGGCAAGAGCGAGGTTCTCGACAAAGTCAAACATTGTGAGCTTCTCAACAGGTGGGAAGAAGGAGGCATCTTCAGGGTCGGACTCGTCATGGTACGAGCTGTTGGAGAAGGATGCGGAGCGGGAGAGGCCAGGGCTAGAAGTTGGCTGGTTTACGGACGAGGGCGCAGTGTCGTCGAGGAAAGCAGTGCCGGCGTGAGTAGAGTCGCCAGGCAGCGGACGTGCTGAGAGGGTAGAGACTCCTAGCTGTGGCTCTGAGTGGGACTTGGGGGGCACAGAGCCGGCGTCATCGTCTGGGGCAGACATGGCAGGCACTTCTTCTGGGACAATCTCGAGATTCGAAGGGGTTCGGCGGTGGAGGAGTCGTTTGAGGGATCGCGGAGGAGAGACTGGAGCCATGGCGACTGTTAGCAGGTGTATAGCAGCCAGCTTGCCTGGCGTGGGCCATGGTGGAGAAAAAAGGACCGACACTTTGGGGAGGAGCGTACAGTGATGGAGGGCAGCTTGAATCGGAAGCAGTCAGGGCCTATGTTCTCATGACAAGACAAGACAGGAGTGATTTGCGGGGGTTCTGTATGTGTTTGATGTTGCTCCGTCTCGCAGCTGTCGAGAAAAAAAATCGTGGGTAAATGCCAGCTGTTGATTGGCAAGCTAGACAACGTTGTTCTGGTGGTGGCACTACGGCGGCGGGGGGCGTGTGAGGACAAAAGGTCACGAGGATGAGTGACGCGCGTGCCTGATGAGCAGAGAAGATACACAGTATATGTACTTGTGTATGGGTGATGTTTATGTATGTACAAGAGCGTGTGTGCGGGATATACGTGAAAGTATAGCTGTGCGTGTATGACAATGTACGGTGAATCAACCAAGCACATGGGGCAGAGGGCCTGGTTTCGTCACTGCGGCCCACCCGAGACGCCAGCTACGGCGGGCGCTTTGTGCGCTGCTTGACGCGACCAGGTACGCGCTTCACCGCGGCCGTCGCCATTCACCCCCGCGACATCCCACCACACAAATCCGCAACCATGGGCAAGCTTGTGCGGCTCGAGATATACAGTGCGTTATTCCTCTATGCGCACGCGGTGTGCTCTGCTAATTTGCCTAGACTTCAAGTCGTACCGGGGACGGCATACGCTGCTCTTTGGCGACTCGTACTTCACCTCAATCATCGGCCCCAATGGATCCGGAAAGTCAAACAGCATGGACGCCATCTCCTTTGTCCTGGGAGTTAGGTCGTCTCATCTGCGCTCCGACAAGCTAAAGGATATGGTGTATCGCGGCAGAATTATCCAGGAAGCACGTATTGCTGCAGACGGTACCGCAACGGAAGCTGCCGACTCCAATGGAGCCTCCAATGGCGATTCCCAAGAGAATGGTGAATCGCAGACAAGCAGCCAGCGCATCGATCCTCAGAATGCATGGGTCAAGGCCGTCTTCGAGGACGACGCAGAGCAGACGCACGAGTGGCAGCGCACCATCACCAGCTCCGGCTCCAGTGAATACCGCATCAACAACCGGGTCGTGACCCAGAAGCAGTACAATGACGCGTTGGAAGAGCACAGCATCCTGGTCAAGGCAAGAAACTTTCTCGTCTTCCAAGGAGACGTTGAAAAGCTTGCCACAACAGCACCCGAGCAGCTCACCCTGCAAGTTGAGCGCATCTCGGGCAGTCTGGAGCAAAAGGCTGAATACGATCGCCTTAAGGAAGAGTCCGAGGCCGCAACCGAAGATAATGCCAAGCATCTGCACGAACGTCGCGCAATCAACGGAGAACTCAAGACATACCAGGACCAAAAGGCCGAAGCTGACGAGTACGAGAAGAAGCTGGCCGAGCGGGACCAAGCTGTTGTCACAAAGAACTTGTGGAAGCTCTATCTCTACGAGCAGGTCATGGAGAGGGCGAGGAGCAAGATTGCAAGCCACCAGGAGGAGCTCAAGGAGCACAAGCGCAGCGTAGAAAAGTACCACCAGCGACATGAGGCGGAAAGGCAGGCCGAGGCTAAGATCAGGCGAGATCTAGCCAAGACCGATCAAAACACAAAAGCCAAAGAAAAGGAAATTGAGGATACCTCAAATGAGCTCGCACCCATCGAAGAGAAGATTCGTCTTTCCAACGAAACCCGTCGAAAGTACGAAAGCAGGATTGACGAGCTCAGGAAGAAGCGAGACGCTGAAAAGAAGGCTGTCGAAAAGTGTCAAAAGGACCTTGAGCTTGTGCAAAAGGCTGAGAAGAAATGGGAGGATGACTTCAAGGCTGCTGCCCAGAACCAGGGACGCGAACTTTCAGAACAAGATCTCCAAGAATACGGTCGCCTGCGCAGCGAAGTCTTGAAGCGTACCCACGGTGACCAAATGCAAATAGACAAACTCAAGCGAGAAGTCGAGACGGATAGAGATCATGTCAGGAACTTGCAGCAGAGCGTTGAAAGTCATGAGAAGGCCGTCGAGAGACTGAACGCAGACATCAGTCAACTCGAGGAGCGCCAGCGATCTTCCAAGACGCAAACTCAAGAGCTCGAAAGCGCGAGAGCCGCCAAGCAGCAGGAGCTGGATAGGCTCAGAGCCGACCGGAAGCAGATTGAAATGCAGTACTACGAAAAGAACCAGCTGCTGCAGGAGGTCCTCAAGCAACTCAGCATAGTTGAAGGCAGCCGCCGCGAGTCAAGGAAGCAACAAGAGGCTCGCAGGACCATTGAGCGCCTCAAGACTCGTTTTGGGTCTGAGAAGGTGCACGGTCGATACAAGGATCTCATTACGCCCAAAATGCAAAAGTACCGCAAGGCTATTGGTCGTGTGCTTGGACACCAGATGGACACGGTTATTGTCGATACTGAAGCCACTGCCAAATCATGCATCGATTATCTCAAGGCTGAGCGCATCGGTGTCATGTCTTTCAACCCGCTGGACTCGATCCAGATCCAAGCCGTCGACCCTCAGCTCAAGGGAATGCACGAAGGCATGCGTCTCGCCATTGACTGCATCAACTACGAACCCAAGCATGAGCGAGCCATGACAGCCGCATGTGGCAACACCATGATCTGTAATACAGAAAAGCTTGCCAAAGAGCTGAGGTACTCCAAGCGGATCGAGGTCAAGGCTGTCACTCTAGACGGTCGCGTCATCGGCAAGGGTGGTACACAGACAGGTGGTGAGCTTGATCGGGATGATGACTCGAGCGAGCAACAGTGGGACGAGCGTGCCTACCAAACTCTAGTAGACAAGAGGAACAGGTACGAGGAAGAGCTTCGTGCCCTCCCTAAGCAAGATCGTCAATACACTCAGGAGCAAACACTCGAGGTCGAACTCCTTGATCTCCAGGAGCAGATTGCTCGCGCCAAGGAGGAAGCAAGGGCACTCAGCCGTAACATTGAGAGTGTGAAGAAAGAGCTCGCGCATCACAAGGCTGAGTTGAAGGGTGTTCGTCCCAACTACGACAAGCAGGCACAGCGATTGCAAAATCGAGAAGACGAGCTTAGGCGCTACCAAGATACCGTTAATCAGGTCAATGACCAGGTCTTTGCCGCGTTCTGTCAACGACTTGGCTATGCATCTATCCGCGACTACGAGGCCCAACAGGGTACCGTCCAGCAAGAAGCGGCCGAGAAGCGTCTCGAGTTCAGCAAGCAGCGTAGCAGACTTCAATACTTGATGAAGCAGGTGGACTCGTCGCTGCGCGGTGTTGAAGAACGCCTCAAGCAAGCAGAGGATGAAATCAAGCGCAAAACTGCCGACATCACGGAGCTTCAGACTAAGCAAGAAGAGCTGCAAAGTGCGAGAGATGTCCTTCAAGCGGAGCTGGAGACATTGCAAGACAGGAGAAGACGCTTGGAAGAGAAACTTGCCGAACGAGTCGCTGCCGTCAAGGAAGCACGCCGCGCTCTGGATCAGCGGAACGAAAAGGTCAAGCACGTGCTCAAGGAGGTCGATGAAGAGGACGCAAAGATCAAATCGAGCGCAACCAACCGATACAATGTGCTCAAGGAGTGCCGTGTCAATGAGATCAAAATTCCACTCACTGAAGACTCGCGTCCACTGACATCGTTACCGATGACCGACATGCCACGACCTGACGCCGATGCAATGGACATTGACGAGGATCCTGATTCGACCCAGATTCAACCCGCAGAGGTCGACGATTACGGCATAGAAGTGGACTTTGAGGAGCTGGAAGAGGAGCTGAAGACTGAGATTGTGGAGATACTCGAAAGTGTGAGTATGCCCAGTATGTACAGTTGCTTCCGTCTTGCTAACACTTTCCAGGAGGATGACCAAGATGAGCGTATCCAATCTCAAGCGGGAACTCGCCTCAAGGCTGCAGAGTCCAAGCTGACTGATGTTATCACCAACCTCGAGACCGACATCAACAAGGCCACGCCAAACATGCGTGCTGCTGAGCGTCTTGCAGCCACAGAAACGCGCCTAAAGGCCATTGACGAGGCGTTCGCCGAGACACGTAAGCGTGCAGCAGCAGCAAAGAAAGCCTTCGAGGAAGTCAAGACGAAGCGTTATGATCTTTTCATGAAGGCATTCAACCACATTTCGGAGAACATTGGTGGCACATACAAGGATCTGACAAAATCGCCACAGTTCCCACTTGGAGGACAGGCGTATCTTGATATGGAAGACAGCACAGAGCCGTACCTTGCTGGTCTCAAGTACCACGCCATGCCGCCGCTCAAGCGCTTCCGTGACATGGAGCATCTCTCTGGTGGTGAGAAGACGATTGCTGCGCTGGCTCTGCTGTTCGCTATCCACAGCTATCAGCCCTCTCCCTTCTTTGTCCTTGACGAAGTCGATGCGGCGCTGGACAACGTCAATGTCAGCCGTGTGGCCAAGTATGTGCGTGAGCATGCTAGCCCTGGTATGCAGTTCATTGTTATTTCCCTCAAGGCGGGCTTCTTCCAAGAAAGCGAAACATTGGTTGGTGTCATGCGAGATCAAGGCAAGATGTCAAGCAAATACTTGAGTTTGGATGTAAGTCACCCTGGCCCTGCCTCGTCCTCAGAATTGGATGCTAACATTGTTTCCAGCTCCGGAGGTATCAGCCCGCTTAGGCTCAGAAAACCCGTTATTCAACGTGATGTCGCTGTTGCTATGGCGACGATGGCTTTTTTCGTTACGACCTGGACATGGCGGTTTAATGTATTATCTCCTCATATGTTGTTTGCTCTATCGGATATGGAAGACTTCAAGTCACGATATCTTCTCGTTCTCAAATATAAATTGCTCCCCAAAATGCGTGTTGACGTGATACGTACGCGTAATCGCCAGTTCCCATGATTAGTTGAGTGAAGTTGCCTATCGCATCAAAGCTCCATCCACGGACGTAAGCGGTGATAAAATGTGCATTTTGCATGGACACCGCTTCCAAAACGAATAGCTCTGAGTCATCAGCTTAGCTGATGTGCAAATATATCTACAAGTTTTCTAATCCTTGCATGTTAGGCCTGACCGCGTCTTGAGGTCGTCTGCACACACACACCCCGCAATGGCAGTGAATGCTTCCTCGCCCCCAGGTGCATCTCTTGGCGAGATAACACCACTCCTAGGCAACCCACCTCCTGACAATGAAAGAGACATTGAACAACAAGCCAGCCATGGCGATGCTTCCAAGCACCAGGGTCTCCCAGAAGTCCGAAAACGCCTGAAATATATTTTCCCAGCCCTAGCTATTGGTGTAAGCCCCCAACGCTCTTGAATTCATTCCTAGAGCACCTGAAGAAGAAAAGACATGTGTAATTAACAATTGCATTCTAGGTTCTCCTCTCAGCCGCAGACCAAACGCTGATAGTGACTACCTATGGAATCATAGGAACAGACCTGCACGCCCTCTCCTCCACTTCCTGGATTGCAACCGGCTACTTCCTCACGCTCTCAGCCTTCCAGCCCCTCTACGGCAAACTCTGTGACATCTTTGGACGAAAGCAATGCTTGCTCTCCGCTTACCTCATTTTCGGCATCGGATCCGTGGGGTGCGGGCTAGCGCGTAGTATCGGGCAGCTTATCGCCGCGCGGGCCTTTGCGGGGATAGGGGGAGGCGGGATGAGCGTTTGCACTACTGTGTTGATGAGCGATATTCTCGGGTTGAGGGAGAGGGGCACCTGGCAAGGTTATCTCAACTTGGTGTATGCGGTGGGTGCTTCTGCTGGGGCGCCGCTGGGCGGGTGGCTGGCGGATAGTATTGGGTGGAGAGTAGCGTTTCTGGCACAGGGCCCCATGTGCGCTTTGGCTATGGTGGCTGTGGCACTGGCACTGGAGCTTCCGGAACGAGACGAGTCGCATTGGAAAGAGAAGGTTAAGAAGGTTGATTTTCTAGGTGCGGCGATCTTGGTTCTGGCGGTTTTCGGACTCCTTGTTGGACTGGATCGCGGATCGAATGTTTCTTGGTCGGACCCGATTGCCATTGCTGGACTCTCCATGACACCTTTTTTCGGGGTGTTTGTTTTGGTGGAGAAGTATGTGGCGAGTAATCCGGTTGCTCCTGGCCACATCATTCTCAACAGGACGCTTTCTGCGTATTATTTCTGCAACTTCTTTTCGTTGGGTGGTTGGATAGCCGCACTGTTTTACATACCCCTCTACTGGCAGGTTATCGGCGACTACGACGCCTCGCACGCTGGGGTTCTTCTTGTTCCCTCCATTCTGCTCAGCGTCACAGGCTCGCTCTTTGGCGGCTTCTACATGAAGCGAACGGCAAGATACTACTGGATCACAGTTTCGGCATATACTGCACTCACAGTTGGCCTCTCGCTCATTCTGCTCTTCGCCGGGGTCTTGATAGAAAGTATCCCACTTATGGTAGTGGGGACAACCATATGCTCTTTCGGTACCGGCATTGGTGTAACAACGACGCTTATTGGACTCATCGCAAACGCATCACATGCTGACCAGGCAGTTGCCACGGCATGTTCTTACCTGTTTCGCTCGCTCGGCTCGGTTTTTGGTGTCTCGTTGTGCGCAACAGCATTCAATCAGACCCTGCGCAAGACTCTTCAGAGTGCGCTGCAGGGCGATGACAACGCGGCTGAGATTGCGGAGCGAGTGAGAGCTGGGCTGTCTTACTACAGAGCTTTAGATCCTGTTCTGAAGAGTATTGTACGAGAGTGTTACGGAAAGGCTACGAGAGTGGCACTGATGGTTGCGATAGTGCTGGTAGCTGGGAGTGCACTTTTTGCATGGTTTATCCATGAGAAGAGTTTGGAAGATAACAAGGCTACAGTGCCCGAGCCAGACGAGGCGGAGTAGTAGATCGGGGTCTTGGCAGTACATGGAGAGTTTGGAGGTGAAGTGTGGAACGACCCGATGGTAAGTGTTGTTGTACTAATATGTTATTGGAAGTTGGACGCAGGATTTCGGACGGAGGCGACCGATGCAGAATTATTCTTCACACTCCCTTGTTCAACAAAAGAACCTTTCTCTTTTAACAGTATTATGGGAATTTGACATCTCTACAGTTGATAGAAAATTGGAATAATTGTCTAGATTCAGAAGTAGCGGTATGCCCTTGTAGTAGCTTTCTCTTTGGGCATCAACGTGATTATGTGCAACAAAGTCACAGAGTGTTGGCGCTGCTGAGCATGCTAGCTAGTGATGGTCGTGAGAAATAGCTCAATGTACGTCGTGAGTAGCCTCGCAATGCTGGTTACCCCATACTGCAATCGCCCTAGTGTGAATGCTACTACATGGGCCTTCCCCGTGTTTTCAGTCATCCACACTTTTCCAACCTCTTCTATTTCGCGCAGATATGACATCGACGTAACGTTCCAACGGTTTTTTGCCTAGACATCTTCCGTCATCTCTGTGTCCGCAACCGAGAGTGTGGAAGAAAGCACGCGCTAGTTGGGCACTAGCGACAGATGATCGACAGCATGCCACGATCGATGTCTGCAGTCGCACATTTGCTTCTCCTAGTAGATTACCAGCCACCACTAGAAACAAAAGCCTCGATTACAATAGACCAGCGAGTTCAGAGCTACTGGTTGCGCTACGTACTGTGAAAGCGCCTCAATGACGTGGTGCCAAAGATTACATTTCTGAGCGCATCGCAGAAGAGGATGATGTCACATGCAAGATGCAGCCACTCTCTGACCGCTCCCAACGCAAGGCGAGCACTCTGGAGATAACCACGACATCTCGGCCCGTAGATGCAACTCGCCTCGCCCATTTCCCATTCGAGACATGACTACAGCCCGATAATGTCCGCTTTCGGCCCTTGTTACACCCGTCGGGTCCTAGACAAGTAATCGACCGTTAATCACACCACAGGGTCTACGCACTACCGCTATTCTTTGTCCCACAGCAATCCTCCGGCTGGGAATGACGTCGATTTCCCAATGAGCACGTTCCTGGTGCGGCCCGCGACTGTGGGTATACCAATCAAAAAGAAAGCATGAGGCCACCAATGGCACCTTGCCAGCTGTACACGGCCATCATTCAGCATGAGACCGTTCAGACCAGTAGGGATTGCATGGGGGAATTTGTCCCCTCACCCTTCGGAGCTTATGATGATCATGCAAGTGAACACGGGACTTGTTGCTTAGTCAATCTGTGTGCTTAGACTAAAGAACTCCCGTTGCTCCGTTAGTTTAAGCTTTGGAGTTTATCAAGACCCTTTTTTGCCTCTTCTTAACGAGTCATTTGGTCCGATATCTGGGGTAAACAGCCCGAAGATATTGATAAATACATTCCGAAGACGAAATGGGTATTGCTGTAAGTGCCTGGTGCGTGGTCATAAGACTTGTTGTCTATATTTAGATGCTGAAGCCCCGATAGAACCCCTCGGTTGATCCGGCAAACGTGGTGCAATCGCTCGTTTACATTCTGTCAGGAGTGTTTGATGCTACTAGGGATTTATATCGCACCTTGTCGTTGAAGGAGCAGAGGGAATATGAACAGAGCCTCAGGAGCTATTCGAGAAGATCCGAATATGTCTCGGATGAGAGATTGGGCAGCGAGGAAGCCATCATGACGGACAAGGCGACAATGGTCCGGCAGTTTGAGATTGGGTATCACGCAATGGGCACCGAGTTCGCTATGGGTGATGGTATGCACTTCTCCGCCGTGCCATCCTGCGCATTCGTGTTTTGGATCTCGTTACTACATTTTTTGAAGTCAAGTATCGCAGACCAACTAGTCGGCTAACGAGAGATGTACTAGTGACTGCGCAGACGGAGCTCCAATGGCAGATAATTGCCCTACAGAGCGTGCTGGTAAGCACTGCCATATATGGGCCTGTATCATCAGACTCGGCGGCTCATCAATTATCGAACATCAACGCGGCTTCGAGAGCGGCAGCAGCGAGATCGATTGAAGTGTTGGTCGCACTGCAGGACCGGCAGATGGATGAGCGCCCAGTTACACCGCGGTCTATGCATTCAGTTACCACGGCTCGTTCAAGCCCGCATCATGCGCCTTCGCATGTGGCCTCTCATGTAACGTCTCATCCGACCAGCCATGCGCCGTCACATGTACCTTCTCACCACAGCTCTTATGCGCCGTCGGTTACTCCGTCCCAGTCGATATCTTGCGTGCGACCGACAACGGTTGTCGTAGCGCCGTCCCAGGCACCATCTCAAGCACCCTCTAAAGTTCCGTCGAAAGTACCGTCTAAAGCACCTTCGCATGCGCCATCTAAAGTACCCTCCCAGGCACCATCCAAGGTACCGTCACAGACACCATCGAGAGCTCCATCAAAAGCACCATCCAAAGCACCTTCGCACGTGGCATCCCAAGCGCCATCGCGGGTCCTAGTACTTCCTCAGCCACCCATTGGTCCAAATTCAACTACCACTGTAACCGTGAAGCACGATGAACCTGTCCATGTGCGAACCAACAGCCCAGTCAACACAACAATCCTCGACTGGCAAAGCAAAGTCGAGCCCGAGTCGTCCATCACCGAAAGCACCTCAACCACTGTCCCATCCCACCCGGGCCACCTCTACTGCCAGTACGCCTACGACCTTCAGCGCGACCCCACGCAGCCCCTGCACCCCACGCTCCTCACCACCAAAGACGGCCGCTGCCCCCACTGCGCGGGATCCCTGCACCTGTCCCCCGGCAAAGCTTGGGAAATCTCCAAATGGGCCGGCGACACCGAACGCACCTTCCAAGTCTCAAACCGCTTCGTAGTAAAATGCCACCGCGACGGACCCGACGCTCAGTACTGCTGCGTTATCTGCTCCAAATACTCGGATTCTGATACTATTTGTGGCGATGTTAAGGCGCTGGTTAAACATCTTTCTGATGAGCATGAAGTCAGGGAGTTGAAGCATGAAGAGGATATTGTCGAGGTTATTGAGCAGGTCATGGTGGTGGGGAAGAGGGATAGTGGCGTCGGGTATGGTGGTGGAGGTGCGGCGTCAAGGGGAAGTCGGAGTCGTAGGAGTGCGAGTGTGGTGTCTGGGAAGGGGAGAAGGAGGAAGAGTTTGGGGGTTGTGGAGAGGGAGGTTGATATTTTTGAGGTGAGGAGTGGGCGGAGGTGATGGGAGAGTATTGGATATTTGGACTGTCTGACAGGACTTCTGTTTCCTTGACTATATTTTTTTTGACAAGTGTAAATTATGAGTTGCGGTTTAGGGATGTGAGAGACGAGGGTGAATGACTTGCGTAGTCAAGGCAAAGAGGATTTATGATTGCGCTTTCCTTACTATTCTATAGTATCTTACTAGTTGAGACGTATAATTACAAAGACATATAAATATGGCGATACACTTATTCCCATAACCGCATCTTTCTTACATGGCACAACTAACCAACCCTTGATCTCCCTACTCTTCCAAATTCCTGACAACACCCCTGGAAATACCCAATCACCTCACTAGCCCGATACCCATTCGCAGAAACACTCCACATGACTGGCTCGCCGCCAAGCAACTCGCCTTCAATAACCTTTTCTTTGAGCGGAATTCACGCCTTGTACGCAACATGCTCGGCTGACTTTATTCACCAAGGCCTGGTAGGCGGAATCTTAAATGTAAGATGTGAAAACCGGAGAAAAAGAGGAAAAGATATAGATTTATGTTGTAGTATAGTAAGAAATAATATAGCTTACTGCAATGACTTTGATACTGGCGTCTTTATGTTCCCTTGTTCAGAATCAGACATGAAAAAAAGAATACAGGGTTGAAATTTGTGTTTCAAGCATCACCTGACTTTTTATATAGCGTATCAGATCAACTATTTCATAAAAGAATGGCAGACCGCACCCCAACCTGCCGGAATCGGGTATGTGTTTCAAGTATGGCCAAAAATTAGCGCTTTTCTACTGTGTTTGTCTAAAACTGGTTGTGGGAACCTTTGAGTAAAGCTGTCTTGTTTATGACAAGACTTGTATGCACTTCAAGAAAGTGACGTGGGATTAATCAAGAGTGAAGAGAAAAGTGGCCTTAATGGTAAATCGATATTGGAGTTGGAGTGATAGAAATGTGAAAAGGTGAGATGTGTTGTTGATAGGGAGACTAAATACAACTCTTCGTACTCGATCTTTTGTTCAGCAAGTCAAATTTTGATCTGTGCAATTCAATCAGTTTCCTCTATTTCCTCATCACTGGTTCAAACTCATTTAAAAAAACAATTCAAAGTTCAGTTAGAATGAATACAGAAAATAGACCACCGAGTTACAGACCCTTTCCACGTCCATCTCCGCCAATTCCATGCTTACAAGCATCCAGTCGTAGCCATCAAACCATGTAGACCACACACTACGCACGCATCCATCTCTACCCGCACACTGGACGTCCCAGAAAATCATTTTCCACCGGAGACTCCCGATAGTAAGCATTGGTCCGACTAAGCACTAGTGCTTACCCACGATACATTAACCACCGAGAAACCACCAAAACAGTTGCGCATCGTAGCAATGCTTGACGAACAACGAAGCAACAAAACACGATTAATAAGCATGTTCTTTTTTTTTCCCCTACGCTCATGCAAAGATGACAAGCAACAAGGGACCTTCCTTCTCCCCCGTCTTTCATACCACCTAATCCTGCAAACTTGTAACCTCACAATCATTCAAGTGTTATTATTATTATTTTTTGGGGCATACAAACCCAGTCAACCAACCCCCCCCCCCAACCTTCTGTCTCCATCTCCATCCCCCCCATCTCTCCTCATCTCTCCGATTAGAGAGCTCTACTGTACGAAAACACCTCCAACACTTACCCCACTCCCACCACATACACACACACCCCTCAAATTCGGCCCGAATACTAAACCCTAACCCTCGGACCTCAACCCCCCGCGCCGCATTCGCTTTTAGTGTGCTCGTCAGAAAAAGCGAAAGCGCTTTGTATGTTTTTGTTACGGCTCTCTCTTTTTTTGGGGGGGTGCCCGCGAAGCTGGGGGTGTTGGTAGAGTAGCGTTGGGAAGACTGGGGGTGGTTGTTGTTGCGTGGAACCGAAAGTGTGTAGTAACATTTTTACTTGACTAGAGAAAGGGACAAGTTAGGAAAAGGGTGGAGAGAGGAAGAGTGAAGAAGAGGGTAAGTTGGTGTTTACGACTAAACGACCAAAACACCCTTTTTTTTTTTTTAAGAAAAAATTAAGTCCAAGTTTGTATCTGGCTGTGTGGGTAAAAAGGTCTAAGGTAACTCTAGCCTATACTAATGTTTTGTTTGTTGTAAAATAAATAAATACGTTCTTGTAGTTTTCTTCAGTTTACAAAGTCGGCTAAAACTACTTTTCTTTCTTTTTTTTTTCTTTCGATTCTAGTTACTTCTGGTGCAACCATGATCCCAGATCCCATGCGAAAAAAAAAATCCCCGTCGTGTCTCTAATTCGCCGGTGGGAAAGAAAGTGGCGGGGGGGGGGGGGTAAAAGTAACTAAGCACACGCCCCCCACTAGGTGTATCTAGAGTGGGAGGGAAGAAAAGATGGTTACATAACCCCACCACGGCAGGCGAATACTCCTCCCACTCCTGTGAGCAAATATGCGCGGGTTAAAGAGTCATTCAAGGGTAAGTGCGGGACGTGGGCGTTTGATAGGATAGCAGATAAGGACGTCATTTTTCGCCGCTGGTGCTGTTACCATACCCCACACCACACCAACACCAGCTTGTATACGCCCTCTTATAGAGGATGCAGGGGGAGGTGTGTTTTTTTTTGGTATGGCACTGCTACTGCATACCAAAGCATACAGACAGTTTAGTGTGCAAAGAACCACTTATAGTAACCTATTTTTTTTTGTTTAAACAAAGGGAAAAAAAACATGAAGCTTTCAACAATACAACCTCTCTCTTTCTCTTTTCCCTTTGTCAGATTTTTTTTTACGGAAAAAAAAGGGGGGGGG